CCCCCTCTGTGCTCCCCAGCTCAGTGCTATTTGGCTGCAGGGACCCAGGCGGCACCCCTGTGGGTACACGGGGGTCACCATGGTGTGTCACCTCACCCTGAATCACCTCCCTCGTGTGCAGCAGCACCTGGGTGACTGCCGCCCGCCGAGGCTCGTCAGCAGGCAGGGTGGAGACGGGTGTCCCCTCCCCCTGCCACCCACTCAGCTACCAGGAAGGACAGTCTAGTGCAGGTGTGACCCCAGTGTCCTCTCTGTAAGACAGAAGGGACGACCCTGGACCATCCCCACCATTTAGGAGGCAGCCTGGACCTGGGGGCTCACTGGAATCTCCTGGAGAACTTTTGGGGATGGTGCTAGTCCTGGGCCCACCCAGACCCACTGAGGCAGGGACGGCCCCGCCTGGCCCCCGGGCGACCCCCAGATGTGGATATGGGTACGGGAGGCCACTGAGGTGTGCTCACGCGGGGTAACTGTCAAGTGGGTCCCAGCACTGCTTTGTATCAAATGCCATGCCAGCAGAGTGCAGCTTCTTCTCGTTACAGAGGCCAAGGAGTGTGTGTCTGGGGTTGGCTCTAGAAGGTTCCACAGGAGACAGGAGGAAACTGACAGGCCTGAGGAGCACAGACAGCTGTGAACCTGGGTGTGGAGTCCAAGGGGTTCACCCACCATCCCGTCCTGTCCGCACATGTGAGTGTCTGTGTTTTAGATAAAACAACACAGCCCGAGGTCACTCCCATGTGAAACCTGGTGAGAGACTGCTGAGAGGATGGGGTCCCCACGTCACTACGGATCCCAGCCCCCGGTCCTGTCCCTCCGTGCTTCCGGAGCTCTGGCAGCTCCAAACCCTTTCCCGATCCCTGGTCCTGGCCAACCCCACTGCCACCCAGTCCGCCCGCCCCGTGTCCCCACCCCTTCTCTGTAAGACAGAAGGGACGATCCTGGACAGTCCCCATCATTTAGGAGGCATCCCACCCAGTGCGCCCCTGCCCCCGTGTTCCATGGCTAGGCTCCGGCAGGAGGCACCCTCCAGGCACCAGACAATTTCTCAGGAGGCGGCTCTGTGCGCAGGGATGTGGGTCAGCCCGGGGACCCGAGGCGGGAGCCGTTCTCAGGTCTAAAGGAGGCTTTGCCAAGGGAGGTAGTTCAGCATGAGACGCGGCGCTGGGCCTCGGGGCGTGAGCGGCCTGTGCGCGTGTGCACCCGTGTGAGCGAGTGTACCCATGTGTGAGTCTGCTGGGGGCGAGAGCAGTGGGTGGCCCAGCTCTGTGAGCCCTGTGGACACAGCCCAGCGTCCGAAGCGCCAGGGCAGCCTGCTGACCGGGCTCCTCCGAGAGGGGACGGTGACGTCCCCGCCTGCCTGCTCGCCCTGCTCCCCGCACATTCTCAGGCCTGACCATCCGGGTCCCAGCGGTTCTGTGAGCTGCGCGGTCACCTGTTTGAACTTCTGCCTCCGTTACCTGGTTCGTTCCTGGCGCTTGTCCCCAGTGACCCCGAGGGCCCGGACGCGTCTGGGGCACAGCTGCCGCGCGGGCTCCCGCCCCCAGCAGTCTGTGACAGGGCCAGTGGCCTGGGGCGGGGGCTGTCAGACACAAGGACGGAGGGAAGTAAATGTGACGGGCCACAGAGAGCCTGTGGAAGGGCCTGGAGAGCCTGACCCAGAACAACCGCGCGCAGGGCCTCCCGCGAGTCCACGCACACGCGTGCTCACACCAGCACCGGCCATGACCGCTGACGCACGCCCCGGCGCGGGGAGCCTGGGAAACGTCCCACGGAGAAGCCAGACACGAGAGCCACACGTGGAATGATTCCTTGCCTGCGAATGTTGGGGACAGAGCACAGATCAGGGGTGTCAGGGCTCGGGGAAGGGGGACGGGGTCTCCTCTGGGGGGACAAACTGATTTTGTGACCAGAGAGAGGCGGCAGCTGCACAGCATTGTGAACGTCCCAAATGCCACTGGATTGTTCATTTCCGTGGCTCATTTTATGTTATGTGACTATCACCGCAATAAAAGCTTCAGGACAAAGTCCCTCTGTCTGGACTTGAGAGATGGAGACGCAGGTGGACTGAGGCAGTGATGGAGGATTTCCCAACGGAGCACAGACATGGGTGCTCAGGTCGGGTGGGGGAGGACTCTGCCTCTGACCAGCCCCTGCTGAGGACGAGCAGCCGCGGGTGAAGAGCATCTGCTGGGGCCGGAGGGAAGGTGCGGGGCAGGGAGCTCTTCCCGGGCCCCCACGGGAAGTGCGGGTTACAGGACTCCGTGGGGACCCCGCCGGCTCCCACCCCATCTCGCTGGGGACTCTCCTCCCTGGCACACTCCCGGGTCTGGGCCTCCCCGAAAACCACTGTCCAGTCTTCAGGCAGGGCCAGGGTCGTTGGGGAGGGGACGGTGCCCGGGCAGGTGCTGGGCTTGGCTTTCCAGAAAGGACAGTACCTTCACTGGGGCGTCTGCTGCTGCCGCCACTGGGGAGAAGGACCCGGAGACCAGGAGCCACAGGAGCTCATAAGGAGCTCGTGCGGGGACCCTGCTCCAGCTCCGCCTCCCTGTTCTCAGCTGCAGGGAGGTCACCTGCCAGGCCCTAGTGACCCGACCCTGAGTCTTAGCCCCAAGCCCTTACAGACACTGGGCCCTGGCTCTGGCTGCCTGGACCCCCTCTCTGGCCCTTGGGGCAGCTAAGGCAGAGGGGCCAACTGTTTAAGGACAGGTCAGCACCAGGTAGATAAATGGTGAAGGGGCTGGAACCCCAGGACAGGGGCGCGTGGCTGGGGTGGCATCCGTGGGGTCTCCCCGGTCAGGTACCCAGCTTGGTGGCCTCATGTCTTTGCAGGGAAAGTGGGTCAAGGAGCGTTGTCATTACACAAAGCCAGACACGCAAGGCCAAGGCCGGTGAGACCAGGCCCTCAGGCGCTGTGTCCCGCCAGGGCCCCGCAGCTGCACCTGGGGGACCCGGGGATGCCCGCGCTGACTCTGCACGGACGGAGCTCCTGCATCTCCCTGCCCCCAGGGGAGCTGGGCCGGGTTCACCCCTCCCGCCAGGAGAAGGGAGACCCTGGCCTCCCCGTGGCTGTGTGTCAGGCGGCCGATGCAAAGCTGCCGGGGGACTTTGGCTCCAGTGTCCAGCCAGGCCTGGGGGGGAGGGCAGGAGCTGAGGGCACCCGGCTGGGCTCCCAGTGTCGGGCTGCCCCCATCCTGCTGTGCCGGAGGCCGGCTCCGGCAGGTCCAGGGGTCCCTGAAGGATGGACGGTGTCGGCGAGAGAGAGAGAGAAAGTGAGAGATGCCCTGAGATTCTTTCCAATCACCAGGCAGGCATCTCTGTCCTGTCGGTTTTTGTGTCTTTATTTAAAGGTTCAGGGGCGCCTGGGTGGCTTAGTCGGTTAAGCGTCCGACTTTCGCTCGGGTCATGATCTCGCGGTTCGTGGGTTCGAGCCCCGCGTCGGGCTCTGTGCTGGCTGCCAGCTCGGAGCCTGGAGCCTGTTTCAGAGTCTGTGACTCCCTCTCTCTCTGACCCTCCCCTGCTCACGCTGTCTCTCTCTCTCTCTCCTAGAAATAAATAGAAATATTAAAAAAATAAAATAAAATAAAATAAAGGTTCAGCAACAAGATGAAGTCATGGAAAGGAATTTCTTACAATGGGAGGCCTTTTGTGATGTCAATAGTAGAATTATTCCGACCAAGGAAATAACAAAATGTTCTTAGTAAAAAACAGGATAACATATAGGTCAAATTATATGTAGATAAGTTAGGAGTACTTTGTCTGGCTCTCAAGAGGATGAATGTTTCTGAATTGGTTTGTTTGTGGAGACTAACATGGGGCCCTGAATGGGTCAGTCTTTTGCCCCTGGGCTATGTTTTAGCTACTGTTATCCATCCTCATCCCAGCTGCCAGTGTAAGTAGAAAGTAGGCCTTGAGGAAGGGACTGCTATGCTTCACCAATTAGCAAAGATCTATGTGGTAACTATGTTTTGCTCTTAACCCCAGAATAGGCCCTTGGTCACAGGGCCAGGCTCAGTTGTAATTCTTGTGTTCTTAACCCCCTAAGTCTCGGATCTGCAAGGCCCGTAGGAAGAGCCTTTTGACAATCGCCCACAGAGCTCTCATCTAAAGTCTCTTTTGTAAAGGCAGGAATATGCTTTTCCTTATGAGGTATCTGTTCAGAATATGGGTCTGATCTGGAATATTGTGAGGCCTGGTCAGTCCCAGCAGGCTCATTTCCAACATGAGCCATAGTAGCAGAAGGAGATCCCAGTTTTCGTTCCTCATGGCAGGAGCTGCAAACACTGCCACTCCCTTGCTGTGACGGCCACCCAGAGAGGCCGGCGCGGCTCCCGGCACTGCCGGGCCCGGGAAGCCTCCTGCCTGCGCCCTCACTCCTGCCCAGGCTCCAGCCGGTGGGGGGTTGAGGGGCCAGGGGACCCCCACCTGCATGTGTCCCCACATCTAAACCCTGTCACCCCCACACCCCCGCCCCAGCCCCAAGACCACCCAGAACCCGAGCTCCGCGGCGCCGGCCCCGCAGGAAGCCCCCAGGACCCTTGGGCAGAGCCGCACCCCCAGGCCTCCGCCCACACCCCATTGCCCGTTGGGCCGCCGCACCACCGCCCAGAACCAGGACACCGGCGCGTCCCCGCGTCCCTCCTGGCCTGGCTTGCACACCCTCCCTGATCCCAGCCCGCCCGAGGGCCCACACACAGGCACGGTCAGCAGTGATTGCAGAAGCTCTTTATGTGGGCACAGGAGAGGGGTGGGGGCAGGGAGGCAGGAGGGGTGGGGCGAGGAGGGCGGGGGGGCTCCTTCCACATCCCGCAGGACAGAGGGTCCTGGTGGTGCCGCCCCGGGGCTGCTGTGGAGCCGGTCCTCAAGCCTGCGGCCCTGGAAGGAGAGAGTGTAAGTGAGGGCAGGGTGGGGAAGGCCGGGGAACTGCTGTGGGGTGCAGGGGGGCTCACGGGGGGCCTGTGGGGTGCAGGAGGCTCATGGGGGGCCTGTGGGGTGCAGGGGGCTCACGGGGGGCCGGGGGGGTGCAGGGGGCCTGTGGGGTGCAGGGGGCTCACGGGGGGGCCTGTGGGGTGCATGGGGCTCACGGGGGGCCTGTGGGGTGCAGGGGGCTCACGGGGGCCTGTGGGGTGCAGGTGGGGGGTTGCGGGGGCTGCTGCAGAGCCAGTCTGAGCAGAGGGAGGGGCCTTCTGCGGTCCATCCCCAACCAAAGCTCTGTGTGCATGAGGGGCTGGGCTCAAAAACAGCCCCACTTCGTCCTCATCCGGCTGTGCTCCCGGCAGTTCTGGGGACCTCAGGTAGGTCACTGCACCTCTAGCTCCAGTATTAATGGCCGTGTGACAGAGGTCCTGGTGACAGGGCAGCAGAGGGGATGTGGGAGGGGCGGAGAGAGTCAGCTCACCCCTGGTGGCCTGGCAGCTCTCTCTGGGTATGCCCGGTGTGGTCAGACAGACCCTGGCCCTCTGGCCCCGGCTTCCACATATGAACCCAGTGGACAGAGAAAGAAAAGGAGTCCCTAAATGTCCCTGAGTGACACCTGGGGACAGACATCCAAGGTGATGAGCAGGCCCCAAGGGGGGTTCTCAGGGCAGAGAAGGCTCTGCCCACACGGGGTCCCTCCTGTCTGCGGGTTGGGTTGCCCCTGGGGACCCCAACATCCCGTCGAATACAGGACTTTTCTCCAAGGGTCACTCACCCTAATCACAAGTGGGGATGCAGCTCTCTGTGGAAATGAAGAAGGAGCCGGAATGAGAAGGTGCCCCAGACAAGGGCCCCGACCCCAGTGCTGCTCACTCAGGCAACGAAGACCCGAGAGCGGGGCCCTGGCGCCCCAGGGACACGTCACTGCACCGATGCCCCCCATGGAGCGGTGTGGGTGGGGACCCAGGGGACACAGGCCCAGCCAGACTCACCCTTTTGGACGGGCATGAAGACGCTGTCCTGAGTCCCCCCTTGAGCCGGGAGAATTGCTGAAATGCTTCTAGAGCTTCCGAGTTGACGCCAGGGTTTCTACCTGCAGAGAGGTGAGCAGGTGAGGCCGAGGTGTCGGGGAGCAGCCCGGGGAGCGAACGGGGGTGGGGGTGGCAGGAAACATACCCGTGAGCTTGGCTACTCTGAACCTCTGCCCCTGAAACTGTCCTTCGCTATAAAACACGAGGCAGCCCTTCACGGGGGCCTCTTCCACGTGCAGGTGGCTGGTGTCCCACGCGGAGAAAGGTCACGGCACCGAGCACATTAGCATCTACCCCCAGAGACGGGGGGCGGGGCGGAGGCCCCCATCTTACCTGTCCCCCGCTTCCCCTCCAGAAGTGGGGTCCCCAGCACCAGGGACTCAAGACCCAAGCCTGCCCCCTCTGGGCACAAGACTTGACCCAGGGCCGTGGGGGAGGGATGGCAAGGCGGGGGTGGAGGGGAAGCCCTGGGTGGGGCCCCACCCCCCCGAAAGCCTCCTGGACTCACAGTTCCTGTGTTCGCCGGGGGTGGCAGTTTTCTCCAGGGTGGACTCCAGTATGTGGCACTGGCCACGGATCCTGGAGGGCAGGGTCAGGCGGGCAAGGGCTTGCTGTCCACTTCTGTCAGGTGGGGGGGGGGGGCGCGCACCAGGCCTCTACCCCTGCCCTGACTGGGGCCCTGCCACTTTTAGAGTCCGGGGGGTGTCAGTGTGGCCCCGCGCCCCCGGCACGGCAGGAGGGCCCGGGGGGGAGACGGAGGCCGCGGGAAGGGGAGGCCAGCGGGCGGCGGGCAGTTGCTCACTTGTACGCCAAGGAGACGTGCACGGAGCCGCTCCTCAGCGCCGAGAACTGCACAGGGGTCACCTCCATCGTTGGGGTGACCTCCTCCACTACGAGAGCGTAATACATCACGTCCCCAAATCTGAAACACATGAGCCCTTTGCAGGGCTCCCCCCGACCACGACACCCCCATAATTCCCCGTACAGGCCCTGCCAGACTCCCCCAGCACCCGGCTGCTCGTCCCCCAGCATTCTGAGGCCTCCCAGGGCCACCTGCCACTCCCGGGATCTCCGAGTCCCTTCCAGATTCCAGCACATTCCCTCAGCCACACCCTCGTCTCTGGGGGTGCTCAGGACGAGATGGAAGTCCTTTCGGCTCTGAATCTTCCTGCTCTCTCCGACCATAGCCTGGGGAGGGTCAGGGCTGAGCCCTAAAGTGGGTCTGGCTCCTGACCACGGACCCCAGTCTCCCCGAGTGGGAAGTGCTTACCTCGGTCGCCCCAGCCCAGCCCACACGAGCCGCACGCCAGGTCCCGGAAGGACAGGGGCCCCTGGGCCTGCGGTGGCCACGAACAGGGTCCACACCTCCAGGGCTCTGCAGTCACCACTGCCAGTCAGGCCTGTCCGTGGGGCTCGGGAGTGGCGGCCTTTATGCCCCGGCCGTGGGTCCCCGGGGACCTGGCGCAGACCCCTTGCGGTCCACGGCCAGCTGGCAGGGAGAGCCTGTCATTTGGAATAATTGCTCATTAAGTCCTCAGGCCCCGGTGCTCCCTCGGGGCGCTCATTCTCAGTGTGGCATGTTTTGGGGCAAGAGATTCTCCAAATGGGCAGGTGGGGAACGAAGGGTGCGGCTCCTCAGCCCCCCCCAGGCCCACCTGTGCTTGGCCATCCCGGCTCTGCCCAGGCCTGCCCACACCACCTCCGTGGGCCCTTGCACCTGCTGTTCCCAGACCGCCACATCCCACCCTGGGTGTCCCGCAAGGGCCCGTTTGGGGATTCAGGCTCAGCTTCAACAATGCCCCCTTGCGGAGGCCCCCAGACACCCTCTGGGAGCGTCGCCCTCCCTCCCCGCCCATCTCGCTCCTGCTTGATCGGCTGCAGGTGCTTGCTCCTGGGCACCCAAGAGCACCAGGAATGTGTTCTCCAAGCCCGCGTGAGATCAAGGTGTGGCAGGGCCGAACCCACCCCCACCCGGCCCCCCAGTCCCCGAGGTGGGGACTCTCCTCGCTCCGGACGCCCCCGCTGTTTGCTCTGCGTTCTGTCTGCCGTCCTGTGTCCCAAATCCTGTCCTCTCTCCTCTGGACACCAGCCCTCGGGTGTGGAGCCCTCAGTCCAGGACGACCTTGTCTCTAACATAATAGATCGCATCTGCAAAGACCCTGCGTCTGAATGAGCCTCCAGGCGGCGAATCTTCTGGGGCCGCCCGGCGCCCCACACCCCCCTCTCCGGAATGACCCTGAAGGTCTTGGCTGCTGGTTCATTGCCACCTTGTCCTGTTAGAACTAGGCTGCCTTGGTTCCCTTGCTCACGGCCGCGTGCCCGGGACACGGAGGAGCCCGCCCCCCCCGCCCCCCAGCCTTGGCCTTGCCTGCTGGGCGCGTCGCCCTGTCCAGGTGTCTGACCCACGGCCCTTCGGGAGGGGCCCACTGTATCCGCTTCACACAGGCCAGGTGAGAGGCTCGGGCGCCACAGCCCGCACCTAGCGGTCAAGCTCCCACTTTCCTGAGGAAGGGCCCCCATGCTCTTTGCAGGGCCACAGCGGGTCCTGGGCCGGGACCGTCTGTCCCGCGGCCCGGCGCTGACCGCGGCAGGAGCCCAGGGCCGCAGCGGCTGTGGCGGGCCTCACAAAGAAGTCCTTGTGCCTTTGTCCTCCAGCTGCACCACCCCCGCCCTCAGTAACCCCCCCCCCCCCCCCGCGGTGATGGAACTGAACGTGTCACTTGTAATTAGCCCGGTAATTACCCCCAGAAAGGCGCTCCTGAGCAGAGCACGGCCTTCCAAAGGGTGGGGAAGGGGCGGGCCCCGTGCCCTTTTAGGCCCGAGACCAGGAGGCAGGCCCAGGCCTTGAGAAAGGCTCTTGTGTTCCCTGCTGTGCTGACCTTCTCCCAGGGACAGGCGGGATCCCTGCCCCTTCCGGGCCTGAGAGAGGACAGGGCCCCCCCGGACCCCTTGATGTCCTGGCCCTGTGCAGGCTCTGGCGCTGTCCATCCTCACAAGGAGCCGGGACGCCAGGGCGCGGGGGGCGTAGGGGGCACAGAGAGGCAGCCTGTGTCCACAGCCCCGCTGAGGCTTGCAGACTCGGGGGTGCCGAGGGGCACCTACAGGCCACGGCGTGACGTGGGCCCAGCCCTCAGGGCAGTTAAGATGTCACCTGATGTGCATGTTCATGTGCGGGTGTGATGTTGGTGATGTGGGTGTGAGAAGGGACGCACATCAGCGGAGCAGAACAGAGAACTCGGGCGCCGGGCCACACCACAGGGGGCCTGTTTACTGTTTGACACAGACGCCGAACAATGGAACGTCCACGAGCAAATAAAGGAGCCTTGACGTCAGCCTCACGCCCTCCTTTACAAAACCAGCTCAGTTGGTCATGGGCCGCAGTGCAACGGAATTTAGGAGAAACTTTCCTAACTTGGTGTCGGGTGAAGCATTCTAAGACACAGCACCAGAAGCGTGTCATAAAGGCAGATCGGTGAACTGGAGGTCATCAAAATGCAAGACTTCTGCTCTGCAAATTCCACTGCCAAGAGAATTTTTTAAAAGAATAAGCTGCACACTGGGAGAAATACTTGCAAATTTCATAATCCCAAAAAGAACACATGGAACAGTCCAAGCCTCAACAGTAACAAAGTGAATGACCCAATAAAAATGAGCAAAACCCTTGAACAGACACTTCCCCCCAAGAGAACATGCAGGTGGCAAAGGGCCGTGGGAGCCAAGGTGCGTGTCGCTGGCCACGGGGTGACAGCAGCTCACACCGTCTGGCTCACGGGACGCCAAGGGGCAGAGAGGATGCCGAGAGCAGGACCCCTACCCTCAGCTACTCCAGGGAACAGCTTGGCGATTTCTTACAAATCTGAATACATACTTCACCTTACATACGACCTGGTGATCTCTCCCAGGTCTGTACATAAAAGAGATGAAAACAGAGTCACACATCTGCGAACGTGTAAGTCAGCTCCAGTCATAACTGCTAAGAACCAGACACGCCCCACAGGCCTTCACCTTGAGCAGGTCAAACAAAGCACAGTCCATCCGTGCGATGAACCGAGTAAGGCATGGACCACGTCGACAGCACCCTGGGTGGCAAAGTCTCACGGGGCACCATGCTGTTTGGTTCTCTTCCTGTAACGTTCTAGAAAAGCCAAAGCTCCTGGTGTGGAGGAGAGGGGAATGGCTGCGGGGGTCGGGGATGCAGCAGGAGGGGGGTTTTGCGGGCAGTTTCAGGGGATACAACTGCTCTGCGTCCTGAATACGGCTCCAGAAGGAGCTCTGGTTCTGTAAGGGCCTTAGCATCGTGTTCATTCTCGAAGCATCCAGTGGGAGGTGCCTGAAACCCAGACCCCAGTGCGAGAGCGTGGGCTGCGGGATTGCGTCAGCAGCTGGATTCAGACCCTGTGGCAGGTGGGAATGAGGAGGGGACGGGCCCTCGACACCAGACAGGGACACTGATGAAGTCCGGTGAGTGCAGCCCGCGGCCCTCCCTCCCTCCTGTCCCCGTCCCCCCCGAGCACCATCAGCCCCTCTGCCCTAGCCCGGGGGCCACTGGACCGCCCGACCTTGGACACCCTCCGCCGAGACGCTGTCCAGAAGCAGAACCCATCAGGGAGCGTGTGCGCCACGAAGTCAGGATGTCACGAGGCGGCTCGGGCAGCTGGGGGCAGCCTCGAAGCCCGGCTGGGAACTGCTTCGTGCCCTCATTCGGAGAGGCTGAGACCCCAGAGCTGCTTTTAGCATGAAAGAGAGAAAGGGTCCTGCGTCCGTCGCTCGGGGTAGTCAGGAGACAGAGGCCACACGGCCCTTTGGACAAAGCTTCATGTGAAGAACTAGTAACTGGTCTCAGCGCTCAGGGACTGAAGGCGGCAAGAAGGAGGAGCGGCGAGCCGGCCCCCGGCTACAGCCCAGGACCCCACCCCGGGGCACACGCCGCAGGCGAGACACATTCACGGGGCTCGGGGCTGGCGGGCCAGGGTCCCCGTGGAGTCCCTACTAAGCCACCCGTGGGTGAACGCCGCTGGGCATCCTGCTTATGGGCCAAGCATCTCAAGAGAGAGCAGCGGAGCAGGGGAGAGGCAGCCCCCCGCGCCGGGTGCCCTCCCCCCTGCCTACAGGCACCGAGAGCCCACGCGGGCCGGGCCGGACAAGCTGCGGGCCTCGTGGCCGCAGTGGCTTCCCCACTAGCCCTCCTGCTGCTGGGTTCCCTTCCGTCTCCAGGCCGCTTGCCTGGAGGGTCCGTCCCCACCCTCGTCTCCGGTCGGGCCTTCCCAGGCTGTGATAAGCCTTATCACGTTGCCTTATCACGACCGGAGCCCCCAGGGACCCCCCGGGGCCAGGCGCGCCTCTTTCCGTTCCCCTCAGTGGCAGCCAGGCCACCAGCTCACTGCGACCAGGGGCAGCACTGCCACCAAGCAGCCTGGAGACGAGAGAATTGTACGGACACTGAGGCATCTGAGGCAGTGACCTGGGGCCGAGTGCGTCTGCGTGTGTGAGGCGGGTGTGGGGCCAGGCACTGATGCCACGGCCTCACTCATCTCGCCCTGGGCCCATCCTTCCCGGGCACATAGGCGGCTCCTGCGACTCCTGGCTGGGCCCTCCCCGGGGCAGGAGCACGCGCACGGCGGCTCAGGGCGCACCAGCACTGCCCCACTCGTGCCCTGGGTCGGCCCAGCGTGGTGTGCGGGTCTGACCCCAGGGGAGCCCCGCCTGGGACGCTCACTTTCCGGCCTCCCCGGGTAGTGACTGTGTACAAAGCCTGTCCCGTCTCCCCGACCTGGGGAGCGTCCACTCCCAGGGCAGAGCAGGGTTTGGGGACTTCGGCCGTCTCTCAGCTTCTGTTGAGATTGTCAAGTGCAGCTCCTTTACCAAACGGTGGGCCCCCACCCCCTCCTGCCCGCCTGCTCAGGGAGCATCATCAACTCTGGACGGAGCCCGGAGACACTATCTGAGGGCACCGGGCGCTACAGAGGCAAACAGAGGCTGCAGGCCAGTCAGCGCCTGGAGGAGCCCCCCGCCCCCAGCACGCGCTCCCCATTCTCGCGCTCGCTCTCTGCCGCACGGAGCAGGTGCGCCGCTCACGGAAGCCCTGCCACCGTCCTGGCTCTGAACCAGGGGACAGAGTCCTGGGCAATCCCGGCTGCTGGAAAGAGACAGCAGAAACCCTGGAAAGAAGGGAGCCAGGGAGCGAGAGCCCCAAGTTCTGCACATAAACTGTCCGAATCTCAGGCTCACCCTAGAATAGGAATGGGCAAGGCAGACTCCGAGCTGCCCGCCCAGGGCTGAAAGAACCGACCTGCTGCCGTGCAGCGGGCGCAGAGGGTACAGTTCGGGGCCCGACAGGTGAAAAGCCTGTTTAAAAGGGCAAAGTCCACACTCTTCCGAGAAGCTCAACAAAATCCAGAATTTAGATAATATGTTCCCCGGATCCAGGATGCAATCCCAAACTACTCAACATATGAGGAAACGGGGAAACACAACCCATTCTTCTTTTTTAAGTTTGTTTATTTTGAGGGAGAGATTGAGAGAGCACAAGCAGGTGCGGGTAGGGGAGGGGCAGGGAGAGGGGGAGACAGAGTCCCAAACAGGCTCTGCACTGTCAGCTCAGAGCCCAACGCGGGGCTCGATCGGACGCTTAACCGACTGAGCCACCCAGGCGCCCCCGAGGCTGTTGTTTCCATATTGTTTCGCTCTACTCCCAGGATTGCCTGATTCCTACTGACGTGGCCGCCGCTGGCCCACAGCTCCTGCGTCACTCTGTTGGTGAATCTCCCCGTCAGCCATGGTCACAGGTAGTTTCAGGAGTCCCGCCTGCCTGCCGTGCCGGCCCCAGGTTCCCCGTCGGGCTCGCCTGTGTTTGCAGGTGAGCAGCACACTTCCCTCTGCGCTCTTACGTGTCCTAAGAACACTGCCTCAGCATCCTGGCCCGTCAGCCCGGGTACCTCTAGCCTTTCTCTTTAGAATGGGTTGTGTTTGGGGAGCCAGGGTGGCTCAGCTGGTTAAGCATCTGACTCTTGATCTTGGCCCAGGTCATGATCTCACGGTCCGTGGGTTCGAGCCCTGAGTTGGGCTCTGTGTTGACAGCTCTGAGCCTGGAGGCTGCTTCAGATTCTGTGTCTCCCTCTCTGACCCTCCCCTGCTCACACT